GTGGCCAAAGTATTGAAGTTTCAGCTTCAAAATCAGTCCTTCCAATGAACACCGAGGACTGATCTCCTTTAGGATGGACTGGTTGGATCTCCTTGCAGTCCAAGGGACTCTCAAGAGTCTTCTCCAACACCACAGTTCAAAAGCATCAATTCCTCGGCGCTCAGCTTTCTTCACAGTCCAGTTCTCACATCCATACATGACTACTGGAAAAACCATAGCCTTGACTAGACGGACCTTTGTTGGCAAAGTAATGTCTCTACTTTTTAATATGCTATCTAGGTTGGTCATAACTTTCCTTCCAAGGAGTGTCTTTTAATTTCATGGCTGCAATCACCATCTGTTGTGATTTTGGAGCCCCCAAAAATAAAGACTGACACTGTTTCCACTGTTTCCCCATCTATTTCCCATGAAGTGATGGGACCAGATGCCATGATCTTAGTTTTTTGAATATTGAGTTTTAAGCCAACTTTTTCACTCTTCTCTTTAACTTTTATCAAGAGGCTCATTAGCTCTTCACTTTCTGCCATATGACCAACCTAGACAGCATATTAAAAAGCAGAGACACTACTTTGCCAATAAAGGTCCATCTAGTCAAGGCTATGGTTTTTCCAGTAGTCATGTATGGATATGAGAATTGGATTATAAAGAAAGCTGAGCACCGAAGAACTGATGCTTTTAAACTGTGGTGTTGGAGAAGACTCTTGAGTTCCTTGGACCGCAAGGAGATCCACCAGTCAATTCTAAAGAAAATAAGTCCTGAACATTCATTGGAAGGACTGATGCTGAAGCTGAAACTCCAGTACTTTGGCCACCTGATTCAAGGAACTGACTCATTGGAAAAGATCCTGATGCTGGGAAAGATTGAAGGCAGGGTGAGATGGTTGGATGGCATCACTGACTCTATGGACATAAGTTTGAGTAAGCTCCTGGAGTTGGTGATGGACAGGGAGGCTTGGTGTGCTGCAGTCCATGGGATACCAAAGAGTCAGACACGACTGAGTGAACTAAATTATCTTTTACCCTTTGACCTCTAACTGGCTGTGTGTGTGCGCACGCTCAGTCATGTCTCTTTGTGACCTCATTGACTGTAGCCTGCCACACTCCTCTATCCATGGGATTTCCCAGGCAAGTGTACTGGTATGCACTGCCATTTCCTTCTCCAAGGGATCTTCCCAACCCAGGGATCCAACACCTGTCTCCTGAATTGTCAGGCGGATTCTTTACCACTGAGCTACCTGGGAAGCCCTTATCTGGCTATTGAAGTGAAAGTGTTAGTTGCTCAATCTCATCTACTCTTTGAGACCCCATGGACGGTAGTAACCCTCCAGGCTCCTTTGTCCATGTAATTCTTCAGACCAAGACTACTGGAGTGGCTTGCCATTCCCTTCTCCAGAGGATCTTCCCAACCCAGGAATTGAAGCTGTGTCTCCTGCACTGCAGGTAGATTCTTTACCATCTAAGCCAGGTGTGACAAATAAGACTATTTCTTGTCATACCAACCATATGAAGGGAAATCTTTGGTGAAAGAGTACAAAACATGTATATGCAAAATGCCTCAACACCCTAATGTGAAGGCTGGGTTGAGCCCCACTCAGAGGAGACAAGCCCAGCACACCTCCCACTTTTCTTTTCTAGCTTCACTGACGTATAGCTGATAATTAGCAATGATGTATATATGAGGCATACAATGTGATTATCTGACAGATATACACTTTGTACTAATTATCACAAAGTAATTTACACTTCCATCAATTCACAATTACCAGTGTGTGTCTGTGTTGTGAGAACATTTAAGTTTTACTTTCTCAGCAAATCCCAAATATACAGTAACAGTATTAACTACAGTCAGCATACTGTACCTTACATGTACATGCTGTACTTACTCATTCAACAACTGAACTCTTTGTAACCTCTGGCCAATCTCTCTCCAACTGCCTTACCACCCAAGTTCTCAAAAAACCTTTATATTCTGCAGCTCTCTGATTTTGACATCTCAACCTTCCATATATGTGTGTCTTTTTCAACCACAGTTATGTCAGAAATAGTGACAGTGTTACAGCCACTCAGGAAGCAAATTCACTTAGGACAGCAGGGATAGTGGAGTGCAGTTTATTACCGAGGCAGAGTTTCCTCCTTAGCCAAGGACCCCAACCAATTTTTGGGACAACTTTTTATACCCAAAGTGTCCGTGCCCAAGCCTACATGCCCAAATTCTCTAAAGTCCACTCTGGACAATATTAGTAAGAGATGCAATCAGGTTACAGCCATAAATTTACATTCTAAAGCTATCTGGACATACAATTTATTCTACATCAGTTAACATTATTAAGATTACATAGTGGATATTGCATTCCTTCTGGCTCTGAGAAGTCTAGGTACGTGGTCTGCCTGGTCTGGTTTTTATCCACCCGGGAGGCCTGCTCGGCTGTTGGTATTTTATCTCTATGGCCTCCCGTGTATGCAGTCCAAAGTTCACTGAGAGTGTAAGATGAAGTTCCTTTTCTTTTAAAAATGGAGTCAGTCCAGTCAGGGCAACCTGCTCCTTTCTTTCTTCAACAGCAATGCCAGAATGTTATAATAATAATTTATGGCTGACATAAATCTCTATATACATTCGTCAGCAGACATTCTGGTTGTTTCTACATCTGGGTTGTTGAAAACAATGCAATAATGCTCACTGGAGTGCAAGTATTTCTCTCACTAGAATGACTGTTTCCTTTGGGTATCTAGTCTCGGATGGGTTTCATAGACTGTGGGTCTGTTCTTTATTTAAATTTATAGAGTAGACTCCATATCATTTTGCTAAGAGCTGAATCAATTACATTCCCACCAATAGAGCCTGGTGGCGATTCTAGGGAAGTCTAAATTGAATGCACCAAGATTTATTCCAAGTTACAAAAAGAGTTAAATGCAAAAAAACAGAGAGCAAAGTGAATCCACTAGGGGAAAGAAAACCACTTTTAATGTCCCTTCAAAGAGGCACCATGCAGTGACAGTCATTTCTTGCCCCACCTCTCTTCCCTGTCCTGTGTCTCAAGAACGAAAGGAAAGGGAGTGACCCACAGCTAGGGAGAGGCCTCTCCAGGGGGCCGAGAAGGCGAGGCTGCGGTGGGGGGAAACCACCTCGCGGAAGGACTTTACATGGGGGTGGGGGGTAGGGGACGGAGAGAGTAAAGGGAAAGAGCGAAGGGGATTTTAAAAGTGAAGGAAAAGAGGCAAAGGCGGTGTCTACGTGGACCAAAGGCAGAAAAGCCAAGGGCTCCGGAACCCACCTCACAGCATTTTTAAACCCAAAGGACAACACGACACCTTTGACAGAAACCTCTGGATATACTCGGGGTGTTTTAGGTCCCTCGATATTCTCAAGCCGAGGGTAGCGTAAGGTGGACAAAAGAAGTTCAAATTTACAGTAGAAAGGAGAAACACGCCCCCCGGCAATTCTAACTCCTCGCCGAATTCTCCCCTTTAGATTCTTGAAGAAACTACGCAGGCGCGAAGTTAGAGCGCGCTTCCGGGGGCGCGGCCGGGGCGGAGCGCTATCGGGGATGGGCGGGGCGAGTGAGCTCTCCTGTGCTCAAAGTTCGCAGGGATGAGGTGTATGGGTTGGGGAGGAGATAAGTGACTTCCGGGCGCTTTGAAACTGCTGATTTTATGTTGCTATCTATAACGGTTTTTGTGGTAAAAGCTGAGAGATGTGTGGGGCCTTGACGGCGGAAACGATCTTTCCTCCTAACAAGTTGAAAACGGTTTCAATAAAAAGCTGTGTGTTTTTTTTTTTTTACAGCAGTTTGCCCCCGTGCCCCTGCAGTGTGTGCGCTACGGCATTTCAGTCGTGTCCGACTCTCTGCGACCCCATGGACTGTAGCCCTCCAGGCTCCTCTGTCCATGGGATTCTCCAGGCAAGAATACAGGAGTGGGTTGCCATGCCCTTCTCCCGGGTTCCTCCTGAGGCTCAAGCAATTAAGAGGTTGAAACGTGGGTTTCCAAGCATTTGCTGCGTGACAGTGGTTGGATCGGGAACATTACTTGCAGTTAGAATCAATTTAAAGAGTTTGAGGAAACAAGATTTGGGCTTCTCTAGTATAAACTAGAATGAGAAATACAAAATTCTCCCTAGGCATTTCGTACGGACATCCTGCAGAACAGCTCTTGAGTTTCTATTCCCCGGTTAGCCAGCAGACAAAACTCAACACTCTGCTCAGTTCCAGAGACTCAGGGCCAAAACCTGGGGTCTGAGACTGGAGAACTACGGCATATTATAGTGTCCCTAGTTAACAATACATTTTGTTGTTGTTATAATTGCGTTGTTCTTTCTTTGGGCTAGAGTATCTTGTCTTTTAAAACCAACTTGCTCCCACCCAGTTTTATTGAGATATACTTTACATCTCTGCATAAGTGTAAGTTGTTCAGCATAATGTGCTAACTTACATATATTGAAAAAATTACCACAACTTTAGTATCCACCATCTCATACATACATTTCTTTTTATGAGAACTGCATTATTCATTAAAATGCCTACTCTATTCT